ACTCGTCAACGAATGCTTGGATCAACACCTCCCACGTGCAAAATGACCCTTACATCTGATTATAATTATATTAGAATATTCTAGAGCCTCTTAATTGTGTGCACATGAGGCATGGAAACCTCAAGTATGAGAAAGACAAGATTATAAATTTAAAGTATGGTTACTAGGTTTTGTATTTAGTGCACTCACTTTTTTAGGTGCGTGCTATGCATCAGCGTCATAACTTTCATTGCATTTTATGTTAAAACGATGTCAACCGTTACTTTGTGATGATGGACAAGAAAATAAATGAATTTGCACAAAAATCATTCAAGATTTACTTTGATTTGAAGGATTCAGGGTTTATCGATTACGGATTTATAATTTGCGGTTTAGGATTTATGATTGAAGGTCTAGAGTTTAGGGTAATGCCCTGATTATGTGTGATCCTACGTTACATGCATCATATTAGACTAATGCTTCCATAAAAGTTCATAATTCATTATCTTAAATCTAATTTTAAATTAGGTGCATTGTGTACACTCCTTTGTGCGAATGCACTGCATAAATTACCATAATTAGCAATTAAAATGGTGCAATGGTGCAAATCCTTATAGAGTTAGAACAACATTGGCTTCCACTAATTATTTATTTAGACTTGAAGCAAATCCAAAGCTAGTTATGCCTATGTTTGATCCAATTTTTATAAATGTCTTTCTGCTTCAAAAGCCGGAGGAGGGCCAAATACCTTTAAAAACTTGGGCCCATTTAGTATCATTTTGTTGCTGTTGTGGTTGCAGTGGTGTTGTGTTAAGAGATGTACAACCACAACAGGAAAAAAACAGAAAACACAAACCTGTTTAGTTGATAAATCTGAAAAATCATGAAAGCTTACAACAAGAAACAAAAACGCGTTTAGTTACACTACTATAAGAACTAAAAACCAGAATAGAGACATATGTTTCAATATTAAGCAAAGTCTCACAAAAGTCAACATACCTAACATCAATCATGTTCCTTACAAAAAAAAAATACTAAACATGATTATCACTCCATAACTGGTTAGCAATTTCATCACGCTTCTCGGCCATCTCACGTGTTGCTGCATAGCTGACCTTGAACTCAGTGAGTGGTAGTTCAACCCTAGAAGTCGAACCTTCTTCATCTTCATAATTTTCATATTCATGAAATAGTTTATCATCTTCGGCATGAATCTTGATGAAATTATGTAAGGCGCAACAAGCAATGACAATACTTGTTTGCTTCCTCAAGCTAAACGACCGCTTGAACTTTAGAATTGAAAACCTTGCCGTTAAAACTCATAAGCAACGCTAAATCACATTACACAGACAATATAATATTTGCCTTTCAAGAAGTTGAATTTACCTGTTGCGGGGAGTCGGAGTGAGGCTTCTATGGAGGGGAAGTGGTCGACGGTGAGACTGGTGGCGGCGGCAGGGTCGAGCGGCGGCGGGTGGACGAGCGGGCGGACGAAGGAGACTTGCGGCGGTGGCTGGTTCGAGCAGGGGCGGCTGGTCGCGCGAGGCGCGGAGGTGGCGGGTCGCACGGGAGGCGCGGAGGTGCCGACTGTAATGGAGAGGAGATGGCTGGGGAGTTGCTCTCGTTCGAGAGAAAATGGAGGGGTTAGGGTGACTGATATGTTCAAGTAAGTAGGGTTTGGGGGTGGTATGTGTTAAAAAAGAATTTTTTTTGCTTCCGTGGGGATTCAAAAACTGATCTGGTTTAATGAAATCAAGCGCCCAACCAGTAGAATCCCGTGTGCAACATGTTCAAGAATCATATCCAAAGCAATAAAATGTTGTTTCTCATATTTGGGCTTTGTTGTGCAACTCTGATTCACAACAGAAAATAAAAATCCAACTAAACACGATTTTTTCTTGGTTTTTCAAATTTCTTAAAACACAACAGAAAACAAAAACAAGCAACAATACTAAACGGGCCCTTGGGTTTTGAAAAGCTGTATAGTACTTTTGTATAACAAAAAAGCAGAAGCTCCGATTTGGAGCTTCTGCAAAACCTATTTTGAAACTACAATATTATCCTTACCATATTTTAATTTTATTTAATAAAACATAATTTTTTTTCAATTATATTATATTAAAAAATAAATTAAAAAAATATTATTATGTAATATAAAAGAGATGTATCAATATCCTTTTTTACTGCTTTTTATTTTTTATAAATTTTTATTCATATTTTATATTATAAATTCATTTTAGTCGTTGTACATAATCTCTTATATTAAAAAAAACACTTTTAATAGTTTTCGTTCAAAAAATGAACTGATTTTTGTTCAAAATTACTTCTCTAAAAGGTCGAGCCAAAAATTGCGTATGCAAAACTGCAACAAAGCCAAACTAACCTCTATCATAACAGTTTTCTTTATTCACCAAATCTTCACTCGTTTGGTGGGTACGTAAGCCAAAAATTGTTAATCACAACTATATCAAGAAACAACAAAAGTCCATAAATATCGGGTGAGATACGATTTGACTCAATGATCTTTGAACATCTTGTCTTTGTGTATGTCTTTGTCACCAAGGGGTACTAGAGAACAATGAGTAGAGACCCTTCAACGCTACGATATTGGAATTAATTCAAATAATATAATTATTAATTAACCACCTTCAATGATCGATGTGAATAATTAATAACAATAATAGTTATTATTAGTTAGTGCATTAAAAGGGAAGTGACTCGTTTGTGGCTGTATTAATTAGCAGAAACAAATCCGAAGCGATCATGTAGGTAGCCATCATTAGATGATGGTATATATATATAGGTGACTACTTTGGTGTATTCACAAAAATGCGTGCGTTCAATGCACCCAACTCAAAAACTAATTTTAAGGTATCGAATTTTGAATTTTAATTTGTAGAATTAGTGTAATATGATGGTATAACATATTATAACAACTAATTAGTGAATTATCATAAGCCCTAAACCTCCAATTTTGAGTTCTATTCCTAAACCCCAAATTGTAAACCCTAACCCTAAATCTCTAAATTCTAAATAATTCAAATTAAAGTAAATCTTTAGAGGTTTTGTGCAAATTCATGTGCGTTATTGTTCATCACATCATAAGTGATGATTGACATCATTTTGACATAAATCGCATGTTTAAAATGACGGTTATGAAGCGAGTGCACTGAATACACCCAAAAAAGTGAGTGCGCCAAAGACGCCACCATATATATATAATTATATAAATTATCATAGAGTTAAACTCGAGCTGAACTCCTAATCTTAATTATAAGTGAAGTAATTTTAAAAAATGAGCCGACTTGAGTTCGACTAAACTCAACTCGTTTATAAATAAGTCGAATTCGCGTTCGGTTCGTTTATTAACGATACAAATCTAAACAAAACAAAACTCCTCGATTTTGACTGGCCGGATGAGTCGACAGTGGATTGATGGGATCCATCGAGCATGGAGATTTGATCTCCTTGCAGGATATCTTAGCCCTTCTGACCTCAAACAGGTGGCGACCACCCCAATTGGACCGGACTCACTGGATGACATCTGGGCTTGGAGATTCACGGACAGTGGTGACTTCACAGTGAAATCTGCCTACCACGTGTTCCATAACCTGATTCGAAGGGAACAGAATGTCCAGATGGTTGACACATCGAGTAAAGAAAGATGGAAATGGCTATGGAGCCTCTCCCTACCTCCCAAACTGAAGTTCTTTATTTGGAAGTGTACTAGAGGAGCCCTAGCAACGAAGGAAAATATTTTCTCTCGTCGATGCTCGGTGACTAAAGCTTGCCCCATATGTGCTGAAGCTACAGAATCGATCCATCATACTTTGTTCGAGTGCCCACACGCGGCAGCTGGGTGGTTCCAGGGCTGGCCTTCACTGGTGGTCCCCCCCTTGTCCACCCCAATTCTTGATTGGCTCTTCGCACTGCAAGACAGGTATTCTCTTCCCACTGTCCAAAAGGTTGTCTTCTTGTTGTGGCAGACGTGGAAGGCCAGAAACGAGTTTATCTTCAGGGGAAAAATCCCTTAGCCCCCTTGCACCAGTTCTAAGGCTGTGACTGAGTCGCAGCAATGGGATAACTGCCCTGCCAAAACAACAACCTCTCCCCCCTATTCAGTTAGATCCACCCCCGAATCATTCTACTCCACCGCCAAGTATTCATGTGTTTGAAATACAGTGTGATGGTTCATTTTTTGAAACATCACAAGAGGCGGCATATGGCGTTGTTATCACGAATGCCCATGGACAAGTATGTGACGGGGTAGCTGAATCCCTGCATTGTTTTTCACCAATTGAAGCAAAAGCAAAAGCGTTATTGAAAGGAACACTTCTGGCCACCAACCTCCAGGGTCCCTGTCTGGTCTGATCAAATTGCCTTACCATCATCAATGTTGTGCAAGGACACTTGAGGCCGTGGCCACGGCGTGTTGCAGCATGGATTGGATGCATTAAGAAAGCGCTCGAGGACCACCCCTGGATCAAGATCTCACACATCAAGAGGGCTGATAACACGAAGGCAAACTGGGTGGCCAGATCTAGAGCAAAAATGTATTTCCTTTTCAATGGATTCAGGTACTTGATGTAATTTCTCATCTGCTGTAATCAGCTGGCTTCAGCCGCAAGTAATGAAAAGTAATGCCTTTGGTAAAAAAAAAAAAAAAAGACTAGTAGAGACTAGAGACTAGAGAGGCCGGCCCTGGGCTATAGCATCTGCGGCTACAGCTACACCCACACATGACCCAACCAACAGAAGACGGGGAAAGAAAACAAACTTCCCCCTCCCTCTCTCCTGAGTCCTGACTGAGAGACGGAGCAGTCACTTTCAAAGCTCCCACCAAAACTATTTGCCTTTACTTCCCTACTTTATATGTGAAAAAAGGGCGGGGAATAGAGGAAACCCACTAGTTACTCGTAATAATTGGGTTCCATGGGGTAAAATTTGGATGTTGAAGGGTTTCATATGTGGTTTTTTTCCCCTCTCTTTTCCTTTTACAGTTTTACCCCTTTACAAATTTCAGAGCTGATTAGATAATAATAATAATGAAATGAAATGGTGTAGCCAAAAACCTCCCTGGGTGAAATTTTCCCCCCTCAATTGAACAGTGAGGAAAGAGAGGCAGAGAGAAAATGAGAGAGAGTGGAAGAGCACTAACAACTAATCAGCAGTAGCCAGTAAGGCCATGAAAAGAAGAGTCCCCACTAAACCCCTTTGATTCCAGCTGTGAGTCTTCTTCTTCTTCTTCTGATTATTTCTTCCACCCTCTTACTCAAAGTTGCAAACTTGATGCTCCTCTTTCGGGTACCACAGAGCTGTGAATAAGAGATCTATAGATAAAAACAAAGCCAATCCAATTCTTACCTCATTCAATGATTCCCTTTTGCCCGCAGGTTTGTTTTAACTTTTTCTTCTCTCTTCCTTTCAGTTCAACAACTACTGGGGTTATGAATGATTCCCTCCATTCTTTTGCTTCTTGGGCCATCATTGATTTCTTTCCCCCCCAAACCCCTCTCTTTTCCCGTTTCACCTGCTCCCCGTTTCAGAAAGTGACGTGCTTGTTTTGATGGCAGCTGAATTGAACAAGAGAGAAATGGAGGAGGTCCAGGAGGAGAAGGACCACTACATTTGGCTTTCTTGACTCAAGTCTTACTACCCAGTACGGCTGATTTCTTTTTGATTCTTCCAACTTCCTTTCTTTTTCAGTTTCTTCTGAAAGCAGGCATCTTGAGGAATCTTTTTCTATGACATGGGCTTCTTTGTAGTAAGCTCCAGACGTGGGTGGATTGAAAATGCCTGTAGATTGCAAGCTGTCTATCTTTAGGACCTCTTTACCTGCCCATTGGAAGATGGGGAAGCAGAATGAGTCGTCTTTTCATGGGTTGCATTCTGAGTGGAAGAGCTGGAGAAAACTTCTCGTTCTGCTGTGTATATTGGGTGGTTTGGCTGTTGGGAGCATTAGGTTTCCGCTGAACTTCGATGGGAAAGACAGGGTTTCAGATTCTTGTGAAGGAGAATTAGTTCGTCACTTCAATGTTTCCAAGAGCCAGCTCCATGCACTTGCTTCCCTGTACTCTGACTCGGAGAAGGTAATGTTATGGGCTAAACTCTCTATCTTTTGCTAAAAATAGTTCTAATCATGGCCATTGATAACGATTTGCAGTTTCTTCCTCGGGAAGTTGAAAGGACAGTAATCAGGCTATGATTTTCTGTGAGTTTTGACTCTTTGCTTGATGCTGCAGATAGCTTCACTTGAATGTACCAAGGAACTGGGACCTGGACCTTCAACAACCGATCGAATTTCTTGTGCGATGAAGTTGATGTGCTCGAAGAAGCAGGAGTTGATGGATGAGGATGAGACTGCTCTTCAGAACTCAATTTCAGATGCATCTTCGGCATTGGTTTCAATGCTTGTAGATGTAAGTGTAGGTTCCAAGTACGACTGATAAACCAATTTTTTTCTTTCTATGGCTTGAATGTTACAGATTTTGCAGAAGTTGGTATTTTTTGTTGGGTTCCTAAGCTCTGTATCTGCATGGTAGATAAGTGGAAAAGTTGGGTTCCTAACTAGAGGCCCCTAAACCCCTTGATTTTCAGTTTCATTCTTTATTTGGCACGCAGGAAATACATTAGGGTTTTCTGGTTTGAATCTTTGCTCATCCTTATGCGACTTTTGCTCATTTGGTTTCTACAGAACACTTTGCAAACAAGCGCCTCTGTTGTATATGCTTATGCTTCTGGTATGATGGAAAGATGTTGGTGGATGCAAGCTAGCAAAGAATTCCCCTCTGTTGTATATGGTTATGTTTTTGGCACAATGAAAAGATGCTGGTGGATCCTAGCTGGCGTGGGCTGCCTGTGCCTTAGTGTCAATCTGATACCTCTCACCACTTGGTGGAAGAAGCAGTTTCTTACGGTGTTTTTTTGTGGTGGTATTGCATTGTCATTTTATACCTTCTGGAGTGGGTCTCGGGAGTTTCACTCAAGGAGAGAAGAGACCCTCGCTAGCATGTGTGACGAGAGAGCACGAATGCTGCAGGACCAGTTCAATGTGAGCATGAACCATGTTCATGCCTTGGCCATTCTTGTATCTACCTTCCACCATGGCAAAAATCCTTCAGCTATTGATCAGGTATATATATTCTAGCCTCTATACTTATAATGGCACCACTTGATTTCTGATGATCCAAATACATTGCTTCATTGCAGAAAACATTTGGTGAGTACGCTGAGAGAACGTCTTTTGAGAGGCCACTCACTAGTGGGGTTGCATATGCTTTAAAAGTTGTTCATGCGGAGAGGGAGCAGTTTGAGAAACAGCACGGTTGGAGGATAAAGAAAATGGAATCGGATGACCAGGCGCTGGTTCAGGATTGCATCCCAGAGAAGCTTGATCCTGCACCCGTTCAAGACGAATATGCACCTGTCATATTTTCTCAAGAATCTGTGGCACATATTGTCTCCATTGACATGATGTCAGGAAAGGTATATGTCTCGGAATCCTTTTCAGATGGCATCACTTTCATTATGAGCTCCTTTAATCTGGTCGTTTCTTCCTTCTTACATAGGAAGACCGTGAGAACATATTGCGAGCAAGAGCATCTGGGAAGGGAGTGCTTACATCTCCTTTTAAGCTCTTGAAATCAAATAACTTGGGAGTTGTACTGACATTTGCTGTATATAATGTTCCTCTTTCTCCACATGCCACGTCGGAGCAACGAATTGAAGCTACTGTGGGGTAATCTGTTTGAAGAATCAGTTATTTGATGTTTTATCCTTACTGTTTCGTCCTGGTCAATGTGGAACTAACTTGTATGCGGTGACCCACTTTGTTATGAAGGTACCTAGGGGCTTCTTATGATGTACCATCTCTGGTGGAGAAGCTCCTGCACCAACTTGCCAGCAGGCAGACAATTGTTGTAAATGTTTATGACACGACTAATGCGTCTGCTCCCATTCTTATGTATGGCACTGATGTTGCTGAAGACATGAGCCTATTCCGAGCAAGCAACCTCGACTTTGGGGACCCAATGAGGAAGCATGAAATGCACTGCAGGTTAGTGGGAAAGAACTAAGCTTGAAAGAACAATAAAACAAGGCACGGTTGCCCATAAGTCATCTCCACAGATTTTAATTTTATTTCGTTCTGTTGCTGCCGGTTTCTGCAGGTTCAAGCAAAAACCTCCCGAGCCTACGTCAGCAATTGATTCGTCAACCGTAATCCTTGCTATTGTTCTACTTGTTTCATATATATGTAATGCAGCCATAAATAAGATTGAAAAGGTTGAGGAGGAATTTCGTGAGATGACACAGCTCAAAGTTCGTGCAGAAGCGGCTGATGTGGCAAAATCTCAGGTTTATTTCCTTGTTTTAGGAATGACAATATAAAATTCTTTTAATGATTCTAAGTGCCTACAACTGAGGAATCCTGTCCTTTTATTCCTGCAGTTCCTTGCAACCGTTTCACATGAAATCAGGACTCCGATGAATGGTGTTTTAGGCATGTTGCAAATGCTGATGGATACCGAGCTTAATGACAAGCAAATTGACTATGCTGAGACTGCCCATCGTAGTGGGACAGAACTAATCTCTTTGATCAATGAGGTCCTTGATCATGCTAAGATAGAATCAGGGAGGCTAGAGTTGGAAGCTGTTCCTTTTGAACTGAGGCCTGTTCTTGACAATGTTTTCTCTCTTTTCTCTGGAAAATCCAGTGAAAAGGGAATTGAGGTAATCCAAGGAACCCCCTTTTCATTGTTATGCATTTTCGTCTTACATCGTTGATTATGACTTACATTTGGGTTTTCGTTTTGCTTGAGAGAAGTTGGCCATTTATGTCTCTGATCAAGTGCCTCAAGTGGTCATAGGCGATCCTGGAAGGTTCAGGCAGATTATTACTAATCTTGTTGGCAATTCAGTCAAGGTCGGTATTGACCAAATTCCTTGACACAATTAGATCATTTTTTATTCAGACATTTGCTAAACCAACTACTGTTTGCTTCCTTTTGTTCAGTTTACACGTGACAAGGGGCACATCTTTGTGTCAGTCCATCTTGCTGATGAAGTAACGATAAGCCCAGTTGAGGTTCAAGATCCAGTTCTGAAACTCAGTTTTGGCTTAGCTCAAGACACCTCAAGCAAGCCATACAACACACTAAGCGGCTCTCTTGTGGTCAACAGATGGAAAAGTTGGGAACATTTCAAAATTTTGGATAGAGTGGATATCGGAGACTCATCAACGATTAGATTGCTAGTTACAGTCGAGGATACAGGTGTTGGTATTCCAGTAGATGCACAAAGCCGCATTTTCACTCCTTTCATGCAAGCTGACAGCTCGACTTCACGAATGTATGGTGGGACTGGAATAGGATTGAGTATTAGCAAGCGTTTGGTTGATCTCATGGGAGGCGAGATTGGTTTTGTTAGTGAATGTGATGTTGGAAGCACTTTCTCCTTCACTGTTTGTCTCAGAAAAGGGGAGTTGAGTTCCCTTGATGCTAAGGGGCAACGTTGTGATGCAACTCCTGTGGAGTTTAGAGGCTCAAAAGCTTTGGTGATTGATCAAAAATGCATACGAGCTGAGGTCACTCGATATCATCTTGAGAGGCTGGGAATATCAGTGCACATTGCTTCAACTTTGAAAGCTGCATGCTGTTTTCTGTCTGGTGGTATTACATCAGGTGCAAGGTACATCTACTTTTCTCAAGGCATCTGACATCGGATCAGGCTATTCGTTTATCAAATGATAAATTTGCATCTATACCCATGAATTTAGTCGCCTTTCCTCTTCTAGTTCTCGAATCTGATAAATTCCCCCTAGGAATGTAATTTCTTTTCTAGTTTAGCCATTAGCGTTTATTGTAGGTTGAATTCATGGACCGTCAGCTTTTGCTGGGTCTGTGACCACTGTGGCACTGAGTCACAATCATCTGCCAAATCCAATGTGTCCAAAGTCAAAAAATACCCCTCATATAGATTGATATTTCTTTCCAAACTACCTGAAAATGGAATTATATTTCGGTTTTCTATTTGTCCTCTTTTCTTATGTGGTGTTTATTGTATCTATCAGTGCTCCAGTTGGTCTATCCATGATCCTGATCGACAAAGATGTTTGGGATGAAGAAAAGGATGTCGCGGTGCATCGCTTTTTGAGGGACCCAAGTGGAAATGGAATTGTAGAGTTTGAAGCAGACCTTCCCAAAATCATTCTCTTGGCTACTGCAATAGCTCCTGATGAACGCCATGAGCTAAAATTAGCTGGCTTGATAGATGATGTGCTTATGAAGCCTCTTAGGCTAGGCGGTTTAATGGTTTGCTTGCAAGAAGCCCTAGGAAGTGGTAAGAAGAGTCGAGTCAGAAAAAAGAAACCGACGAATCTTCAGAATCTGCTGAGAGGGAAGCATATCTTGGTGGTGGATGACAATGTTGTAAACAGGAGGGTGGCACAGGGTGCTCTAGAGAGGTATGGAGCTATAGTCACCTGTGTTTGCAGTGGGAGAGCTGCGGTAGAGTTGCTTGAACCACCACACAAATTTGATGCTTGCTTCATGGACCGCCATATGCCCGAAATGGACGGGTAAAAATCATAATCCACTCTGTTAGCTTAAGTTCGTACATAAATCAATTTTTTACTTGTTAGGCTGATTTTTCGTTTCGTACTTTATGCAGATTTGAAGCTACAAGGCATATTCGAGCTAGGGAGACTCGGATCAATGAGCAACTCGCATCTGGTGAAGTGTCAATCGAGAAGTATGGAAATAAGCCATGTTGGCATACACCAATAATGGCGATAACGGCTGATGTGATTCAGGCAACAAGTGAGGAGTGTAGAAAGTGCGGGATGGATGATTTTGTTGCAAAGCCGTTTAAAGAGGAACAATTGTACAATGCAGTGGCCCGTTTCTTCGAGTCTAGTGGCCAGAGTGGTTGACTGCAGTGCCTATGGTGTCTATATACTCGGCTAATCGATTTCGTTGGAATGGCAACCCAAAGTCATTTTGATCAATTAATGGATGAGAGGTCCCCAACGCTATAGGCTATTGATGAGAGGTAAGGCTACTTATAGAATTGTCATCCCACAATCGAATCAATCTCTCCCAGTGCTTCTGCAGTGTGTTGTTCAGCCATACCGCTAAACCAGTAATGTTGTGCGTCTTCACAGCTTTTGCCTTAGCCTGCAATCACAACGCTTGATCGGTTTGTCTTCTGCAAAGTTCAATCCGAAGTCCAGTGGATGAACCATCTGTGTAGTTGTAGCCTAGAACATGGGCTGTTTGACATCCTAACTTGTGTCTCATCCTGCCTTGCCTTTCTGAGAAGTACATAATGAAACAGGAAAACCAGTTTCATCGGAGCTCCATATTGAGAAAAGAAGTACGGAAGTGTTAACTTTAGAATTGATATATCATAGCGCTCTTGCGGGCAGTGTAGTTTGTACGTATGCTATAAGCACATCCATCTTGTATATTGCAACTCTTCTGTGCATGTGAATTGTACCTAAATCCTCATCTCTACATAGTATACAAGTTTGGTTAGATTTCAGTTTAATAGAGAACTGCCTTTCCCGGCTTTACAGATCAATGTGGGGTGTTTTGTAATATTCATTGTGTGAATGAAGGGAACTTTTGGACGAGAGAGTGAAAAGGAGACAAGGAAGAGAACTTTCAGTAGATCGCTGCAATATTGATGGAGGTTCCCTGGAGATGGGACCCACATATCCGATTTCATCAGCTTATTTGGATCTGCTTTCATCTAGATCGCACCTCATCCCCTGCATGCTTGCATGTGCCACTGTTCAGTAGTGTTCACATATAACTCCACCCTTGCATTTTATTTGTGTGTCTACCCCATCGCCTTTTGTTGTTTCTATATATAAAGAAAGCTAGGAAACGAAGCTTCGGCCTTTCTGTCCTCAACCTCAAGATGGCATCTTTCAACAAGAGGCTGCTGGTTGCCATACTGTTGCTTCTTATCTCATTAGCCATTCAGATATCAGGTAGGTTGCTCACTACTTGTTTCAATTTTCAGCCAAACCTCAAATGGGTAATTTTCTTACAAGTTGGAAGTGCTAAAAAGCTTGTTTCTTTTTGGGATTAGATGGGGAGATGGAGCAATGGTGTGTAGCAGATGAACAAACACCAGACAATGAGCTGCAGGCAGCCACTGATTGGGCTTGTGGGAAAGGGGGTGCAGATTGCAGTAAGATTCAGTTGAACCAGGCCTGCTTTTGGCCCAACACAACCAAGGACCATGCCTCTTTCGCCTTCAACAGCTACTTCCAGAAGTTCAAGAACAGTGGTGGATCTTGTTATTTCAATGGAGCCGCCATTGTCACCGACCTTGATCCAAGTAAGTCCTGTTACAAGGAATTTAATCTTTCTGGTTTTGTTGCTTCTTTTGGCAGAAGAGTGTATCAGCTAAACTTGTGTGTGCGATCAGAAATGCAGTAGGGATAGTCCAATGTGATGAGAGAAGTAGGTCAAGCCATCTCTACAACGTGAGATGAGACAGGAAGTCATCACCTAGAACCGAAAACTTTGGCTTTCCGCTAACAGTCAGATTTGTGTTGTTCAATTCAATTCTCAGAAGTTGATCTTCGATGCGTTGATTTAGGTTGAGATGATAGAATCATAGATCTGACATTTTGATCATAGATATGCAGTAAATTCTACTTGAGTCAGACCATACCATACTGACTTTTTGTTTACTGCAGGTTATAACTCTTGCCAGTACGAGTTCATTCCGTAATCCAACGCCAAGCAGACGGAGGGAGAATTCCTTTGCTCCATTCTTTATGTCTACCCAGACGAAGAAATTTGATCATGACGTTATAGATTCAAATTTTTCAGTAATGAATTTTCTGTTGGTCGCCTTTTCCCCTCGTTTGAGGCTTCACTTATCGCCGTTTTTCTAGTTTTAGCACCAATTATCGCTACAGTTGATTTTTTTTTCAAACGTGCTTTTGATGAATTACAAAACGGACTGTCAAAATTGATCTCTCTTTACCGTAAAAAGGAAGCACAACACATATAAGTCGTTATGACAGGGAGAAGAAAAGAAAAGAAAAAAAAAATAGGCAGAAAAAAATGAAGAACACAAGGGTCAATTATGCAACCAGTAAGCTAGAGAAATCCAACAAGACAACCATATTTATCCACCTGCATTGGTTTCACCATACAAACAATCAAGAACATCCTGTTGTTCCTCATGCATTACCTCAACAAGGACAGAAAGAAAAATATCCCCATCTCCTCCATATAGCACATATATATCGGTTGGTTATCTGTCGAGGTGATGGCATATGCGTTTTGCTCAAATCCAGCTTTACATAAACGGTGCCAGAAACTTGGAAGACAAGTTCTGAGTCGATCTGAAGCAACCACTTCCATCAGAAAAGCAAGCTCGCCCAAGCAGCAATGAATGCAAAGCCACCAAATGGAGCTATCTTTGCATACGACCGGTCCTCCAAGTATGCAACGGTATAACACCTGGAGACAGAATAACACCAAATGTTTTTATAAGCTTAGCGTCATTCAAACATGTTAAGTTGATAGGGCATGTTCTCTAAGAAGAAAGCAAGTCATGAACATTACTAGATCATCATAAACTGTGTTTGAAGAAGATACTCTGAAGTCTAAAAGAGGATCGAGAGATTGAAAAATGGAGGCAGTCAATCAAATAATAGCATCATTAATGACCAACTGCAGAGCACATAATGGTACAGATTTGCAAGCCACTTAACAAGCTCAACTGAGATCCATACCAGCTGTTCCAGATTAATGACAAATACTTTACTAATTAAAGAAGATGCTTATACGTCTCTAGCTGTTAACAGTCTATCAGCAATCAAATCATCAGAATCTTTAGTGAACAGATGCAAGTAAATTATCCTGTGGTTCTGCAAGGAACTTAGCCAGCTCAACTCATCCATACCAGCTGATACAGTTTCTTGAAGAAACTTTAATATCTAAAGAGAACGATGCAGTTTAAAGGATTTCGCATTTAACTTAGCTGAAAATTAACGAACTAAGCACTTAGGAACTTAACACCAGAGTGGCTTTATCAGAACAAGGGCATCACAGTTCCCTTGAAGCAAAGATTCTCATCAATGGAGAAGAAGAACTGCCACTTACGTTCCGGAAAATGCAAGAATTCCAGTAGTTAATAGTCCTCCAAACTGAAAGGAGATATCAAATGTTATCAAGAAGCAATATTTTACCAGTTGGTATGAATCAAACAGATATTACTGGGGAAAAACAGCAGCATATGCCCAAATCCAAAACTACTGGGGAAGTTACCAAGTTGGGATATTTGGTCATAGGAGCTGCTACAAGGGCAGCAGTATGAACTAAATGATACAATGAAGCTGTCCTCCACACCTAAATTCACAAATCGAATCACCATTACCAGAAGTCCGAAATTTCAGTTCTTCCCCGCCAGAAAGAAAAACGCTGGATTCTTCATAATCGAGTCAAAGATTAGAAAAATGGAGGGACAAGGAGAAGAAGAAGTAGTAGAAGAAGAAGAGATACCTCGTTGTAAGCAGGGTTTTTAGGTTTAAAGGCGTGGGCGCCATAAGTGCCCATTGCGAGGGCAGCTACCCCTGAAATTACGATCCCCCAAAATCAAGACCTTGAACTGAAATTATGAGCTCAACCCATTGACGGAAATGGAGATGAAAGAGAAAGGTAAGTACCAGAAACGCCAGCTACTTTGTGCCACATAAGAGGGTTCATTTTCATTCCAATTCTTCTTCTCCGAGCCTGGGGAGGGGGACTTCAAATTTCAATCTTGGAAGCGTTCTTCCGCAGTCTGTTGCCTCAGCCTGCCCTTTCAAAAGGGAAATTTTCGAGAAATACCCCATTAAAAACAATTTCAAAAATACCACTTATTTTCGAGAAATTTCAAAAATATCACTCTTTTTCATAAACCATCACCCCACCTCGCGGTTTACACGAAAATCACTGGGGGCCGCGATTTTTGTTCTTGCCAGCTAAAAACTGCATCGGGTCGGGGCAGTTTGATTGACTGCGAGAGGTAGCCGCGAGCGGCCCCCCTGCGATTTGTGTATATTTTTTCCGCTTAAGGCCTAATGTAACACCTTAGGCGAATTCCACATCGACAAAGCACAGGAGAGATATATGGTTCATAATTAAGAAACTGGTCTTAACTGACAAGACACGTTTTGGGGTAAAATGGAGGAGTTCTTGTGAGCAGTGCAGTCAAAATCGCGCATTAAAACGTAAAAACGTAAGGATACCAAAACGTTTCAGTTTCTACCTAAAGTCGCTTAGTCACAAAAACTGGTAAAAGCATGGGTAAAATCGGTTAAATCGCTTAAAATTGGTAAAATTGCGATTCTGAAGCGTTTTTATACGATTTTGTTCATCTCATAAAAATGTGCTAATTGGCCCAAAATGATGTAATTTTGGAGACATATCAGCAAAAAAAAAAATGATTCATCACTCGTTCTACAACTAGTGTCAAGATAGGGGCTTCACATTAGGTTGAAAAGACACCTAATGGTATTCTCAACAGCCGCTGACCTTCTACCAGTCTTCTCCCTTAATCTTCACCTGTAGCTCTTACCTGGGTTACGATAGAAGTTTATGGGTAATTGATCGTATGTAATTATGAAAAATCAAACCAGCTTATGAGAATTTGGATTCTCAAGCTCGTTTACGGGTTATGATCTACGTTTATGAGCTTATTATTAAGATGTTATGAGTTTTCTCTACTTTTGAGTCAACACAAATTAGTTTATGTGTTAGATATCACATTTTAATTATGAATTTCATGTAGTTATTCACTTATCTAAAATCTACACACTCACATTTTACATACTATATGTTGTACTTAACATATTTTAGCTATTTTAGAGGGTGCATAAAAAACTTACGCTTTTACGCTTTGATTCTACGTTTTACGATTTTACCCATTTTCCGCTTCTAGGTAGATTCGCGCTTTTAACTGCATTGCTTGTGAGAATTCTGATGTTAAACATGCTCAGTGACGAACAAGGGATTGGTCTAGTGGTAATTCTACTAGACTTGAACTTGGAGGTCCCAGGTTCGAATCCCTTCAGTAGTACCTATTTATAAAAAATAACCTATATCACTCTTATCTAAAAAAAAAAAAACATGCTCAGTGTGGAGTACAACAAGGATGTGTGACCTTATGGGAAGTCACCTTGAATTGCACCACAAGCCGAAAACTGTAAGGGTGGAGCCCTAAAGCGGACAACATTATGTGTGGAAAAGGTTCAGGATGTTACACCTAACCTACTATGAACTTCCAAACGAATTTAACTTTGCAATATCTCGAAAAATTATGCGGAATAAAAAAATTTGCTACGATTGGATACCCAAGTGCAAAGTTACATTCGTTTGAAGTTTCGCCCTAAGTTAGTCGTTGATTGGAAAAAAAATGCAAACCATTGGGTGGGGGCGGTTGTCACCTTAACCGTGCTTCCCCCGCGGTTTATCAGAACGCCCCGACACCATGCGATTATTTGGCGACGGGAACAAAAACCGCGCCGTAGGGTGGCGGTTTTCACCTTAACTGCGGGGTGGGGTGGCGGTTTATGGGAAAGAGTGGTGTTTTTGGAATTTTTAAAAAATGGGTGATATTTTTAGAATTTTTTTTTTTTTTGTATAGTAGGAAAATTTCCTTCAAAGAGACAAGAGTTCTCCTTTTTCTTCGTCTGGTTTGTGGGCAATTTCTATGGGCCTCACTCTTTATGCAAGTGTTGGAAATGGGCTAACTCTAGGAGTAGCGGTATTCAAGATGTCAGCTTAGGCCTAGCCCAAGAGTTCTTTGCTCTCTTTGTTAGCTCGAAACCTATAAAATACGTATTGGACAATCATATCCAATCCATAGATCAAGCTCGTCAGACCAACGTTTGGGTGGGGATCTACCTAAGCATGATCGGTGAATGAACGGTCTGATTATAATGCTCACAACATCATTTGTTAGAACGTGCTCACCGGACGTATAATCATCGGACATGTTTTGGGCTTTCCGCTGCCGTTGGATGAATGCATTGACATTTTGTGAACACTTTAATTAAATTTGGTGAATGATACATGAAAACTTCTCCTAGATTAACAACATTAAATCGTCCCTATCCGATTGAACTAATTGGTGATAATATTTTATTTGAAATCGAACTCCATGATGATTGAATAGATGTGCTATTGATTACTCGTGAAGGGATGTCAAATTGAACATAGATGATTCAGTAGTGGAGTCGTCCACCCAATAGGGATTGAACCAATATTTTCAATGGATAAATGATTCCTATGAGGGAGGTTACGAACTTGAAAACTTGTTGGAAGTTTGCGTATTAACTTCTCTTTCACCACATCCTTGAAAGAAACTTCATTGAATCAAGTCGTCCACATCCAATGCTTCATTGCTACTAAAATAAAAAAGGGTAAATTCCAAATTTGATCATTGGGTTTATTAAACCGTGTCCTGTTTAGTCGCTGAAAAAATTAATATCAATTTTGGCCACTCGAATTAGTTAAACGGTACACGTTTAGTCACTCACTCGAATTAGCTAAACGTGGACCATTTTACTAATTCGAGTGATCAAAATTGATATTGATTTTTTCCAATGACTAAACATGACACATTTTAGTCAATCCAGTGATCAAATTTGGCATTTACCCAAAATAAAATAAAAAAGCTTTTCCTTTCCTTATGAAAGATAAGAATATAAAGTTTGGTTTCTTATAATGTAATTGAAGGGTATTGATTCAGACTTTCCGAAGCTTAAACTAGAAGTTCAAGATAACGACTTTATTCCCTCTTAAGTTCTGGTTTTGTGAAGTTTATTATTTGAAGTTCTGGTTTTTTCCTACTAAATAACTCCATCCCTGTCAATTTAAATTCCATCAAATTTTAATTATTATACTTGAGAAATTTTTTTGTAACTAAATATAATGTATACTCAAATATATAATTTGCCCAGTTTCATCAAATATATAATTTTTTTGTGACTAATTTTTTTTTGGAGCGAGGATATACTACAATGAATGATGCTTGTTAATGTCAACGTTTCACATGTTCTCGCACATAACACATGCAATGCACCACACATAAATCGATACACACAAATACATAGTTGCACAAAACTCTCTATCAGCTAACAAATTCATCATTTAGAATATGATTCGAATCTAAAAATTTCTCACATGCAAGCACCTGCCATTGCTCTTTTGGAATGCACATTTGGGGTGTGGTATTTGAGTTCCATTTTCCTGTAATTTGGGATTTGAAATCAAATACTATCTTTCGTTGGAAAAAAGTAACATGATAATTGGGGGTGTTATTCTTCAAACACAAATGTGTCATTCTCCAAATACTATAGGGGAGGGCTAATATTTGTGAAATACCATGGTATTGTGTTTTTTTATTCTTATTTTGTCCTCTGTATATTCATATAAACCCGAAAGTTGCTTGTTTCTTCCCAACTTCGTAATTGCTCTCTCCAATCACATCTTGTCGAATTCATCTCCACATTCTTCTTTATGTTCACTGTCGTCGGCTCATCAATGCTTTCGGTGAGTCTAACATGTTCTTCTTTGTATTCCTTTATCAATTATTAGTCGGCGATTCGTCCGAGTTAATAATCGTAACCATCATCATTTTCACGCTCTTATTTATCGTCTACACCACGAAAGAAGTCTCGTGAAGACACGTCAACCTGTAATCTATGTTTTTTTTTTTTTGGAGAATTCGGATATCACTATGGAAATACTTTGCACCATACAACACATACACACTCTTACAATCAACATAGCAAATTATGTGCATCTCATTCTCATCAGTACATGTGCATACATGGACAAACAGCTACTCATCCATCCTTTGGGAAGGATCGTGGAAAAATCGGGTGTGTTCAACTTGCTTGTGATAAATAATTAAAAGCGTGGCCAAATGGAGATCCATTGCAAACTGTTCTCCGACACTGACTTTCTTATTGTGTTCCCAGTCCCACTAATAAAGGGTTTCAACATCGACCATCAACTTTGAACTACATTACCCTATACTTTGATTGAGATTTGAGATTGACATTGTCACATTTGACAACACTTCCGCCTTATATACCACTTGACAATATGTTAACCAAATCACTAATTCACTAGTATAGGATTTATTCGCGGATTATATTTTAATGATTTATCTTTTGTGAAATAATGACTTCCGACGTTACCAGGACAGGTCTTGAGATTATGGAGGCCCTGTTCTATAAATAAAATTTGGCCCAAATATTTTAATAAATTCATTGAAAGCATGCACCAACTACATGACATGGAGTTTGAAAAACAATTTTACCATTACACAACTTATCCAAAATATGTCATTAAAATAAATTCATTTGTATTTCAAACAAAAAATATATAATTTCAAAATGAATACCTAAATTAACTAAAAAATGCAATAAAGTTTATATTTATCTGATGTCTTCTCTAAACGGCAACTTTGATATCAAACAATCTACCATCATTTGGTTCATGATTAGTTTCAGGATTCAGCAAAAATTTCAGCTATTAGATTCTCATTTTCATGTTTTTTTTCTCACAAAAAACGGTAACTTTATTTCTATCAAATTGTATTTTATGTTGCCACAATCACAAAAAAAAAAAAAAAAATTTGAAAGTAAATCGTTAATGACTTTCTAACTTCCACACACATGGAGTAATGCTCTCCATGCATAATTGAAGGAGACAATGGACCATTGGAATTTGGAAGATAAAATAGTGAGAACAAGACAAAAGTTAAAAAAGAACAGAACAAATAAAAAAGAACACATTTTGCTTCCT